GGACAATGTCCATGACCGACCGCTTATTTTCAGGCTTGGCACTTGGGATGTTGCTCGACTTTCGGAAAGTGTAAAAATTCACTCGCCTGCGGCTCAAGTATTTTTACGCTTTCCGAAAGTCTCGCGACATCCCTCGTGCATGGATCACGATGCAATCCTGCACGGAAAACCATTCGGTATTCCTTTATTATCAAAAAATGCTAAAATACTGTATTAAATTGAGAAATAAGGTCTCTTACCACTACTACAATGTGTAATTGACTTTTCTGGGTTGATTTGGGGTGATTCAATCCCCTTGAGATGTGTGTTTACATGAGAAAAATTTTTTCTTATTATGTAGACATGTCTCAAGCAGATTGAATAATCACGATTTACATAAACTTAAACTTTGATTTTCTCTGCAAACAAGTTGTTACAAATCTGTTCACAAGCTGTCGACAAGTTGTGTTCACACTGCTTGTTCCCAGTTGTTGTAACAAGTTCGAAACAAGCTGTTAACAACTTGTAACAAGCTTGATGGCATTATCAGACTTGTTACAAGGTTGTTCTAACAAGTCTGATACAATCATGATATAACAAGAATGTTACAAGGTTGACAACACAACGTTGTGAGAATAGTGTTATATCATGACTGTATCGGACAAAGTTCCTTTCGAAATATTGCATTAAAATGATATTTGAGACAGAGATGAATGGCTATCACTGTTTCAATTTTACAGAAAACCTTTCTTTCAAAGTGTAGACCCAAGCAACCAAAAAGTGTCAAATCTGAATTTCACATCAAGCACCATTTCACGTGCGCCTCCTCCCATCTCATCTACTGCATCTTTTGCAGCAGATGTGGCATGCTTTACATTGGGGAAACTGGAAGATGTTTAAGGACAAGGTTTGGTGAGCATCGGCGTGCAGTTATTGGCAATAATGCTAACCAACCTGTTGCCAGACATTTTAATGATGGCAATCACAGTGTTTCAGATATGTTAATTCGAGCCCTCTGTCCCATTTCTGGAAGCAACGATAGCCGCAAACAACATGAAATGCGCCTCATATCCAAACTTGGCACTGTTCACCCTTCTGGCATTAATGAACGCTTTTCTTATGTTTAATGCCATCATAGACAATCCAGAAGACATGTCTTCTGTTTTGTCTATGATGCCATCTGTCTTTGCCTGTCTATAGCAGACATTGACAACTTCTATTTATTACTTTTACTTTTACCTCTCCCACTCGTGTTTTGTTTTGATTATTTTTTGTAGTAATTGTCTTAACTTCCTGTTTATTTTTATATTTTTAATTATATTATATTCTGTAATGCGATTTACATATTTTGTTTACACTTTGTTATTATTAAATCCATCTAATTGGTTTATTTTTTGTCACGTGATGCTTTCATACTCTTAGTATAAAAGCCCGTGCATTTTCCCCGATCCCTGCTACTAACTCTTGACGAAGGGCCTTCGCTCGAAACGTCGAGTTTCTGCTTATTTTTTAAGGTAGTAATATAACCAGTCAGCACAGCATTTTCACATTGGTACTACTGTACCTACACTGGTACAGACAGTTTTAGTATATAGATAAAGCTTTGCCGTTTTTAATTTACCTTGATGTTATTTTGGAGCCGTTGTGCTCGCACTGATTATTTATCAATTATCAGGCGTTTATGTACTATTTAATAAACGAACAGGAGTGCTTTATCAGTTATGAAACACGAGAACGCAGCTCGAGTGTTTTATATCTGATAAAGCATGAACTGCGAGTGTTTTAAATGGCTTAAAAACCATCTTATGAGTTCGTTGGCGAAGTAATTTTAAGAATAAACGTTGTCTAAGCAGAGAAAATCAAAGCTAAAGTTTATGTAAATGAACATGATTTTTTATCACATATAAAACCACCAACACGGCAGTGATTTCCTTTGTCTTTTCTTCATGAATTATTAATGAGTTTTTAAAATTTATATACCGTGAAAGGCGACGCTATCAAAATACTCATTTTTTATATGCTCAAATTGAAACGAAGCCATTGTGCTCGCACTGATTATATTGTGTGCAAAACGTCAAAACTACAGTACATTCTGCAAATAACATGAAATTGAAATATATTAAAAATATCAAGCAAAATTCTTATTAATAGTAATACTATTGAAATTTAATACAACGAAATAGCATATTTTACTCGAGATCATAGTTTAATAACTATTTTCAATTCGCCGTTTCCACCGGTTTTTATACCTTCAAAAAGCCACAATAAAGCTAAATTTGTTTAAATTTGTAGGAAATAACATTGTTAACTTTCAATAGTCAACAAGTGATAAAACATTGACCAGTTGACCTTGTTATTACCGTCCCTTGCAACTACAGATGAACAGTCGCTCATAAAGAACATTGCCTATTCGTGTGAGAATCTTTATTTTTCTTATTTTGACATAATAGCTATTTTTCAATAAATATATTGATATTAAACTTATTGAATCAATATGTTAAGTTTCAGGCTAGTTGTATCAAAATTTATAAGCGCTTGCGCACCATAAAGGCAAATTTCCATTCAGTGCAAAATGTCGCGCGATCGACATCTTGCGATCACTTTCTTTTGAAATACAAGCAATCACACGCAACGGATCAGGTTGACTGAACGCATTTCAAACGAAAGTGATCGCAAACAGTTGATCTCGCGATATTTTGCACTGAATGGAAATCCGCGGCCTTACGTTTCTGAGGCATGCAACCATACTAGATATAGGAGATCTAGATTGCTAACGCATACCTAGCGCAGGCGGGGCCTACATGATAAATCCAAGATGGCGGTACAACAGGGCAAAAAGACTATAGATTCTATTACGAAAATCAGGATTTTTGCATTTTTTGCCGTGGCATTGTTTTGAAACTTATTCGTTCAAAATTTTATGGTAAAGAGAAACTTACCGCGAAGATTTTGAGCATATATATGATTGAATTGGATGAAAATTCGCGAAATTATCCATCGATAAAAGTTCGTGTATAGTACTGATATAGTACTATATATGTAACTTGTACAGTTTTGCTTTAATTTTTGCTCACTATTTGCATAAAAAGCAAATTATAACAGACCATAGATGATAGACCCTCATCCAGTGCTCTCATCAGTTTACTTCTCTAACAAGCAAGGAGGGGGGGTGGGGTACATAACAGTTCATTTTTCACAATTATGAGGACAGAGCAGATGATGATGAGAGATGCAAGTATAAAACACCATTCGCAAGGCTAGATGTTAACATAGCACAGTATTTCTGTCAATAAAACGCTCCAACTGACCAACTGACCATTTTCACACGAACTTTTATCGATGGATAATTTTGCGAGTTTTCATCCAATTCAATCATATATATGCTCAAAATCTTCGCGGTAAGTTTCTTTTTACCATAAAATTTGACCGAATAAGTTTCGAAACAATGCCACGGCAAAAAATGCAAAAATCCTGATTTTCGTAATAGAATCTATAGTCTTTTTGCCCTGTTGTACCGCCATCTTGGATTTATCATGTAGGCCCCACCTGCGCTAGGTATGCGTTAGCAATCTAGATCTCCTATATCTATGATGCAACGTATACGCACTGCGTACCTATTTTTATTATGATGCAACGTATACGTACTGCGTACCTAATTTATTCAAAGTGCATTAATTTTATAACAGACATCTAGGGCTGTGATAAAAGTCTATTTTACTCAAGGCCGTAACAAGCTCGATAATTGGGGGGGGGGGTCATATTCATATATTCGTGTTCACAAACCATAAAAACAATCGATTTCAAAAGAAATTAGTAACGCAGAACATGAATATATGAATATGAGCCCCCCCCCCTAATTATCGAGCTTGCTACGGCACTGTTATTATATGTTGATGGATGTCTAAGTTTTGCCGGATACCGGTATCTGGCTCCGGCACATCCTTTTTTATTACTAGCTTTGTTTCTTTAGGAACTTTTCAGAGGATGCTTCTGCAAATGTTCATATGATAGTAAATTCTAGCGAGGTTTAAACCAAGGAATGTCAACAATACAAGATTTTCATCTTGCATGTGCGAAAGGGCAACTTCACAAAGTACGAGAGATCTTCGCGAGTTTGAGTCATGAGACATCCGACATCCAAAAATCGAGATTGTCCGCATTGTCGACCATACATAACTCGGTCAAAACCTGCAAGAATAGGTGTGCCAAAAAGCCAATATAAAACACTATAAAAGCCGTCCTTTATCCCAGACACGGGGCATACCTCGAAACCCAGACTCTAAGAAAATCCGGACTCGAGAAAAACCCGGACCCCAACTCGAAACAAAATCTGGACTCGACACTTGACTTTTGAAAACCCGGACTCGAAATAGACAAAACCGGATTCAAAACAAGGACTCTGTGTACGAGAATGCAAAGGTTTTTTGGAAAGGTTTAATAATAGTTAACATGATAAACGATTATTTCTTTATAACAATAACCCTGTATATACATGCGTAAAAACGCACAGCTTGTAACAAGCCTGCAAACAAGTTGTTACAAGTCTGTTCACAAGCTGTCAACAAGTTGTGTTCGCACTGCTTGTTCCCAGTTGTTGTAACAAGTTTGGAACAAGCTGTTAACAACTTGTAACAAGCTTTATGGCATTATCAGCCTTGTTACAAGACTGTGCTAACAAGTTTGTTACAGCCATGATACAACAAGGATGTTACAAGGTTGTCAACACAAGGTTGTAACAATCTTGTTACATCAAGCATGTAACGGAGTTGGCAGAACAACCTTGCAACAAGTCTGATAATTTCGACAAGGTTGTTACAAGTTGTCAACAAGTTGTTTCAAACTTGTTGACGGCTTGTTGGCAGACTTGTTACAAGATGTTAGATTGTTACGTGTGTATCTTTAAATAAATTTCTTGACCCCCCACGTGCCGTTACATGCAATCCGAGAATACAACGATAAATCATCGTTGTTAATTGTATTAAAACTTTGTACAACGAGTTGCCTTTGTAATTTGTATCATCATGTTTTGTGAAGGCAATGATCGTATAGCACCACCACCAGAACTCAATATCACACTCCCGACAGCGAGGGATTTTGTTAGTAAACCATACGACTGTTCAAGCAATGAGATTCAGTCACAACTACCAACAGATATTCTGCTAATAACAGCAAATGATCATGAATTCAATGCTTGCTATTCATATATGAAACATGTTCATCGAGGTTATTCTGCGAAACTGGGAATGGTAGATTTTGGTCGATTTGGTGATCAGAAAAACCCGAATGTGAGAGTTGCATTGATGAAATCTTGGCAGGGACCGACGGAGGCTGTGATACCAGTGAGAAATGCCGCTGAAATTTTACACCCAAAAGTAGTCCTCTTTGTCGGGATCTGCGCAAGCATGGAACGGGCGAAGGCAAAACTTGGCGATGTCGTGATTTCTGCCAAACTAGCGACTTATGATCATAAGAAATTCAAGGCAGATGGTACAGTTGAGTATGGCGGGACTAAACCGAACGTTAGTAGAAATATGGCTCATCTTATCCTCAAT